TGGAATAATAAGAATGCAGGGAAGGATTAGTTTAGCAGAGGTTGCTGATGAAGATATGAAGAATCCCATAGTTTTGGACTCAAGAACATCATTCACAAATCTTTTGGTGAAACATTTTCATGAAAACAATAACCATTTAGGACAGGATTACATAATAAACCAGATACGTCAGAAGTTTTGGATTTTAAATTTACGAGGAATAGTCAGAAAAATTGCAAAACAATGTATTGTATGCAAGAAGAACAAAACAAAACCAGAAATTCCCATCATGAGTGAGTTACCAAAGTGTAGGTTAGCAGCATACGAACTACCGTTCACATACACTGGAATGGACTATTTTGGGCCCCTTGAAGTGACCGTGGGAAGAAAGCGAGAAAAACGCTATGGTGTACTCTTCACTTGTTTGACAACTAGAGCAGTACATATCGAGCTAGCAAATAGTTTGGACACTAATTCAGCTATTCTTGCGATAAGGCGAATGATTTCCAGGCGAGGCAAGCCAATGCACATTTATTCTGATAATGGTACTAACCTTAAAGCAGCCGAGAAAGAGTTGAAGCAAGCATTGAAGGAGTTGGATGATACAAAAATAGGCGAAGCACTAACTAATAGACATATCACATGGCATTTCATACCACCAGCTTCACCACACATGGGCGGCAGCTGGGAGCGATTGGTCAGATCTATAAAAACTTCTTTGCATGCAGTTTTAACAGAGAGAGCACCAAAAGAAGAAATATTGAAAACTTTATTAGTAGAAGCCGAAAATATCGTAAACTCGAGACCATTAACTCATGTATCTTTGGATCCTAAAGACATGGAGTGCTTGACACCGAACCATTTTTTAATAGGGACAAATAATCGGACAGAGTCGCCAGGAGTATTTGAAGAAAAACATGTGTCATTGCAAAGACAATGGAGAGTTGCTCAACAATTAACAAATATGTTTTGGAAGAGGTGGGTGCAAGAATATTTACCAGAATTAACGAAAAGGACGAAATGGTATGATTCAAATGTTGAACCAATTAAATTGGGTGAACTAGTTCTGGTCGTCGATAATAACGCACCACGAAACACATGGCACATGGGCATCGTAACCAAATTATATCCCGGAAGAGACGGACAAACCAGGGTTGTTGATGTGAAAATCAACAACACTATCTACAAGAGGCCTGTAGCGAAGTTATGCAGACTGAAGATTGCTAATGACGAAGATCCTGTATGATTCAGTAATCATACGAGGGGGAGAATGTTGGATAGTTTACTTTACATCCTGTATATCAGTTTACCCTGTATACAGAATATGTTGTTAACGAGGAGTTGAATCAATAATTCAGTTGTTAATTTTCGATTAATATAATAATCGTTAAAAAATATAGTCTTTATATTAGACATTATAAGCTACAGTTTTATAAGCCAACCTTTAAGCCAATATCAGTCAAAACAGCTGCCAAACAAAACAGTGGCTTCGGTGAAATTACAACTTTCAATAATGTTTGAGAGAGATATAATCATCGCAGAAGAGATGAAAAAAAAACGGGAAGGAGGAAAATTTCTTGATATGGGACTCTGGACAAGATGATTCTGACCAGATATTTATGTTTGGAACCCTCAGTAATTTGTCTTTGATGAATGAGTTTAAACATTGGTGTGTCGATGGTACATTCAAGGTGGCACCTACTCTATTTTTTTCAGATGTATACTATACATGTCCTGATTGATGAAGAAGCTATACCTGTTATATATTGTCTTTTGAGGAACAAAAATGAGCAATCGTATAAAATGTAACTATCGTAGGTTGTTTTTTTTTCACCTATTACAAAACTTGTGGAAAAGAATACAAGAGAAAAAACTAACAACCCTTTATGAATCAGACGAAAATGTGAGAATACTGCTGAAGATGCTCTTGGCGCTAAATTTTGTACCTCCTCAAAATGTTCAAACCGGTTTCGAAACAAAAGCCCAGAATTCTTCAGAAGAGCTTGCCCCAATAATTGAATACTGGAAGAATAATTATGTAGAACGACGACTATCCAAAAATAATCCTCGTTCTTCAATACAATCATGGAATATGTATGAACGTGTGAAGAAGAAACTTCCAAGGACCAAGAATTCTCTAGAAGCATGGCATAATGCATTCCAGAAATCTATCGACTGCCATCATCCGTCTATTCACAAATTCATAAAATTCATCAAAAAAGAACAGAATAGCTCCGAGATATTTGTATAGCGATACAAGAGTGGCTTCAGGCAATTCAAGAATCATAGTTCCAAATACGTCCTAAGGAATAAGAGATTACGTTTTCTTGTGACGAATTATAATGAACATAATGTTGAAGAATATTTAGAGAGTATCGTACTCAATTTGAGTTTAGAAACTATCTAGATCAGATAAATGTGTTAATATAATTATGAATATTATTGAATCAGAACTTCTGGGAACTGGATTGTCTGTTGCTGTTTTGCCTGTCGCTATTTAATCGTGTCGCTGTTTTGTCTGTCGCTATTTTGTCTAGTCGCTGTTTTGGCCTCGCTATATTATCCGTCGCTTTTTTGCCTATCGCTATTTCGTCCCAGAGCCGGATAAACAATTTGACAGCAAAGATCCGTTGATTAACCGGTTAATTTGCCATTTTAACACAAAACCTTCAATAATAAACTACAATTTTATCACTATTTGACGTTTGTCGAATAAAAAGTATTTCCACGTAGCAATCTCTTCAAAACCATTCAGTCCTGTTGCCGGCCAATTACAAGTGGTGGCTTATCAGAGGAGGCAACGGAGGCTTAGCCACCTCAAGAATTTTCATACATCGAATACCTATAAAATATTACACCGAAATAGCCAACTCGTTTTATCAGCTGCATTTCCTGATGTCAAATAGAATTTGACAATTTGGCAGCAATGCTTTTACGTGAAAGTATTCAGAATATAATACAAGTTTGCGACTTGGCAACATCCAACGGAAAGCAGCCTCTGACGTTACCACCGATACAACAAGGCCTGCATGCTCCGTGGGTGACGTCATTTAGTGAGGCCTAACCAGCGGCTCGAAACGACAAGCGCTTATAGCGCTATAAGGCGACCGCGTATTTCGATCTTAGTTTTAGATCATCATTGAGCCGATTTTGCTGTTTTTTGAAAAGCTTCCGGTTAAAAAAGGATGCCAGTCGTCAACTGAGCCCTTCTTCGCACCCCATTCGATTTTATTATGGAAAAACGAAGTTTAAAAGCAAAAACCAGGATAAAACACAAATATCCACCTACAGCAACCCATTCGAATCAAATATATTGGCAAAAATTGTGGTGGAGGTAAACTTCACACCTACAGGGCCCGCAGAACATAAACTTATCGTGAGATTGATCGAAAGAAAATTGTGGAAAATGTATTTTATTTTGATTGACATGCCGTTTGTTACAATAATTACCTGAAAAAATAACCAGTGAGTGTTTTCAATTTTCTGTTGTTGGATTTTTCACCCAAGTGGATCGTTACACTTGAAACCGTAATTTTTAAGGGTAAAACTGCATTTATCATGCGATGGGTTTTTTTTTCGAAAATTTTTCTCGGTACTCACGTATTTTTGTCTGATAAACCGAATTTCATAACGAAAATGTGAACAAACCAATATTTATTGAGATATTTCAAGAAAAATTCGAAATTTCGCCTTCTTTCTCCCCTTGTGTTGGGGGCATTTGAAGCTACTTGCTCTTATTTTGTTATTGGACACTTTATATACTCATGATGTACTTCGATGGCACATTTTCATATTTAGTGAACAAGCATTCCAGATGACGACCATTTAATCAATAGTCAATCAAAATACGAGATGTCAAATGTCAATAGATTGCTTTCGAATGACATTACACACGCCATTATTTTGAATGATATTCTTCCTTCTTTTCACTAAATATGGATTAATCTCAAGAAAATCATATTTATAGTTGAATTATATATAAATTGTCCAATATGATGAAAAAAGAAGGGAAATTTGTTTTAAATGCCATCCAGAAGACAGGTGAAAAAGAAGGTGAAATTTGGAACTTTTTAGTCAAATATCTTCATGATAAATATCATGATAAATGCAGTTCTGCCTTTTCAAGTAGAGTGTTTGTAGTTCATGTTAATATGATAGTTGCAATTTGATCATTGGAATGAATTCTGCATTCATTGCCACGAGGCAAATGACCGTTTTCAGAAAGAAATTTGAGAATGAGAATGCCCGTTTATTATGAACATTCAAGAAAATTTCCGCGAATTCAGAGATGATTTTGTGACTATAATATACGAATACAAAACTAACTGCACAATCAAAGCTTTTCTATTTTTCCTCTACTTATACTTTTTATGAGAGAGTAATTGTCTTCTATTATTAATTCATCATTATAAATAAAGCTCTGTTCACTACTGAACTTAGATGGAGTAAAATCCTCGCGGTGAATTGCATATAAGTACCCACATTCTCGATAGCTCCTCGTCCAACGGGAAACTAAAAGCATGAACTTTTGAACCACCCACATAATTCCCCCGACAAAAGGGAACACAACACTTGAAAGACATTGTTATTTCGCCGATCACAACACAAAATATTTCACAAAACAGTAATTTTTCCGCCAATTATTTTGATGAATAAACACCAAAAGAATTCGGGACCGTTTCAAAAACATACGTGAATCACCGATGAATTAACACGAACTGACGCGTTAGTCGACAAGCGATAAAATAAAACACTGGCCTCTCTTGGTGACGTCACGAGCTGTTTACGTCAGAGTCTGCTGGCCTCGTTGTATCGGTGGTAACGCCTCTGACCAATGAAATTCGCCAGAATCGAGATTTGCGAAGGAACACGTGTGCACGGATTGTTGTATATCAGCGCCTATTTCAGATTTTCAATGAATAAGAACCTTATGAGTGTCGTCAGTTTTTTCCATTCAGCCTCCCCTGTTGAAAGGAGCACGAGCCGCTACTGAAAATATATTCGTTTTCTCTATATTTCAGGAATTCAAGAACTACTAGTTACTGCTGACAATCCAATTAGAAAAACATATGGCACACTACCGGATTTATTTCTGATGACAGGAAACTTCGATGAAGACCCCAAAGCTCAGTTGGATATGTTGAAAGAAATCCAACCCAACAGACCAACAATGACGATGGAATTCTGGTCTGGTTGGTTCGATTTTTGGGGCGGAATTCATAATAACAAGACTGTGGATGTGTTTAAATATAATTACGAACAAATTTTGAAGTATCCTGCGTCTGTAAATATTTACATGTTCCATGGAGGTACCAATTTTGGATTTTTGAATGGTGCAGGAAACTTGAACTACGATGATGAAAATTCAGGTAATCACTAACCCATGTTCTGCGTTCAAGTGATATTATACAGGGTTGGGAAAAAGTATGAAACCAAGTTAATATCTTTGAAACTAAAAAGACGAAATTTATGAAACTTTTTGCAGTCAAGTACAATGACACAAGATGCAACTGCTGTGATTGTTTTTGTTAATAATGTAGTTCCTGTTTAACCGGACAAACACTGGACTTTTTCAATTCAAATGGGACACCCTGTAATTTTGCAGATTTTGTTATTTTGAATTGGAACATACTGGGCGAAGTGGAAATATTACAGGGTGATTAACGTATACCACACTTCTTGCAGTAAGATTAAAAACTTGAGAATTGGCATGATGTTATATTCGATAATTTCCAATCTACTCGAGATATTTTTATACCTCTAGCTATAAAAAGTGTGCCAAAAGTCGACACCAACTTCTTCAGACATCCTAATTTTTGTCAACATATACAAGGTGTTTCACGGTGGATGGAACATTAAAAGTATCTGGAGAATCCAACGACTGATCATTTCGAACATTTGTGGGCGTGGAGAATCAAGTTTAATATGCTCTATACGTCTAAGGTATTTTCGACAATGCGATGCTGCCACTTCTATTAGAAAGTAGTAGCAACTTTGTTATTTCGAATGGAACACCCTGTATTTCGATGTTTGAGATTCTACCTGAAGAGCTGATTTCATCAGTGCATCACTCTTGGGGTATAGCGGGAATGATTACAGAGATAAAGGGTGGAATAAATACAGGGTAGTTCAAGATTAAGAATTTCGATCACAATGTATCTGTTCTGATTGAATATCAGTAGATAGTGAATCGGAATTCAGGATAGGAACATGTAAGCCGTTTTGACCGATGATAAATAGTTCCAACACAAAAAACTCCTTAAATTGAAAAATCTCGATTATGAACACCCTATATCTCTGTAATCATTCTTGCTAGATACCAAGTGTGATGCATTGATAAAATCAGCTCAACAGAAAGAATTTAAAAATTCAATGAAATACAGCATGTGTTATTTGAAATGACATTGAATTTTTTTTATCTTTTGGAGCGCACGAGAGGAAATCTCTATGATGTTAGTGGAACATCGTGCGTACCTAGAAAGGATTGGAACAGGAAGTAGGTGTTGGAATTTTCTTTGAACTTTTGGAGCTCATAAGTTCTTGGGAATATCTCCATTGGCAAAGAATTCCAACGCTTCGCCGTTCTATAGACGAACGAGTTTTGGTAGAGTGTTGTTCGACATTTTCCAAGGGTATAACGACGAAGGAATGTGCTGACTGGGCCTGTCGAGTTTGTCTGACTGGTATTGATAGTGATGGAATTATAACAGAGATTTCTGAGGAACATTTCCCGAGGGAGTATCTATATATAGAACAGTGAAAGGTTTCCGACTTTCCTACGGTGTTCTATTGGGGTCGAAGAGTTAGTGAGTGTGGCATCACCCAACAGGCAAGTGGCTCTTCTCTCGATTGAATCTGAGAGTATCAGCGTCCATTTGGGTGCTGAACACCATACATAAGAACAGTCTTCTAAAACTGGCCGTATCTATGTTTTGTTGTCATGAGAAGCTGTTGAAGTGTGGAGTTGAATGAGGTGTAGGGTAGATTTTTGCACGGAACAAAACTCAAAGTTGTGAAGCAGCTTTTGCTGATGGAAATACCAAGCATAGATATAGTGGTCTTGGTGGGAATGGTGGTACCAGACATTGTTATATCAGGCACACTGAGTTCCGCCATTCTAGAAAAAATACAGGCTTGAGTTTTGGTGGCGTTGAATTCAACTAGGTTTTCGGTTCCCCAGGCTGTAATTTCCGCAAGATCTATACTGATAGCGTTGGCCTGCCTTCGTCGTAAGTTCTTAGTTTCCTGGAAAGAAATAGGCTTCTGTCATCACAACTCTGAAACACCCTGTATAAAGCAGATGTCGAAGTTTGAGATTTTATTTGCATTTTTTTGTGTTTTCTCCTAAAAATTTCGAAATAATGTAATGAAATCTGGTACACGTATTACACTCCAGAACCTCATTATTCAGAGCTATTGAGCGTTTTCGATTATCTGCAGGGTGATGAAGTTTCGGTGATTGTTTACCCAATTTAACCGCTACTTTTTTACGTGCTGTATCTGCATTCAGAGAGACATTAATTCAGATTATTTTTGTCATTTTAACACTTTTTGTCCTTCTGTATGTTATCAGAAATCTTCATCGATTTCAAGACAATTGCCAAAAGTAATTTACTCGTAACATTAAAACTTATTTTTCGAATACACTCAATTTGACATTTCTTATTGATAATTGACTAGAAGACCAGGACTGTTCGAAAGGGTTATGGTGTGTTGATGAAAATCAGTGGCAAAACTAAAAAACAAACACTGTATATCGGAAAAGGGGCTTCTACCGCTTATACGTTTACATCTCAAAAAATGTTAATTTTTAAGCTCTTGAAGCTGCTACGAAAAACTGATTCACACTGCCTAATATTTCGTTGGTTGAAAGTATGCAAACATTTCAATGGATCAGTAATATGCCAGAAACCATATTCAAATATTGAAGTCAGACAAACAAAAATTTCTATCATTTTCCAAGATTGTAATAGCTTATTTCATTGAGTACAACTTCATCACTTTTTCGTTATTCAACCTTTTCATCATGATGACATATAGGGTGATATCTGAATATGTGATAATTTCAGAAAAATTTGGGAATGCCCATATTCACAAGAAGAAGTGAGCATGAAAAATGAAAATCCTCTGAAATTGAGAATTGACATTATCTCTCAAATCGTCCTGTATGGTGAATGTCAATGGGCGTGTACACCTCAGTAGAACTTTTAACTCAAACCATGTTTATAATGATCCTTTTATGCATAAATAATGATTGACGATATAATTCGATCGAAAAATTAACTGGAATGTTTTATTTTTGAACATAAATAATAGTACCTTCTGAAAACGGACCATCTTATGACGTAGAAACCTCATCTCGCCATTGTTAAAAGAAAATACCAAACGCCTGACGGAGACTGAGGCAACTGATATATTAATTCTTTCAATACTGTGATCTCGCGCTAATTCACTATGTCAGAAATCATGTATCATTCATATTTGTCTAGAATAGTCTTGTTTCAGTATTAGGGTTCTGACGTCACATCATCGCCTCGTTTTCAGAGGTCCGAAAAATCGGGGATTTCAATAATTTTTTATAAAACATAGGGAGCTCACAGCAAGAAACGGTTTGCGGTGGTGAGCTAGTTTGGGTGAGTTCTATCGAATTATGAAATAAATTTTTTTTGTGATATAAGCCCATTCATTAAACATCCAAAAACTATTTTTTATATTAGGCTAAGCATATTTCTACTTCAGAACTATATTTTTTGACGTTTGCAGAATGGAATTTGTTTGCAACTCGTGCGCGAAATACTTTGGTCATCTCGAATATTTTGTTAACACAGCTGCGCCCCGTTAAAAAAATCAGATTTCATCGAGAATTTAACTTCATGGGTTTGTTTCTCAACGTTTCCGAGACTTTAATGATTCAACAATCAGGGAATTCATGTTTCATATCTTCATTTCAGTAATTTTGACAAATGTCAAATATGTCAGTGATAAGTTGACTGTCATGGCTACTTGCTGATTGTGAGTAGTTTCCCGATGGATAATGAGTACGCGAACTAGATTGTCTTCATCACAGGAGAAATATAGTTGACAGGGAAATCTTGTAACCAACCCGTATATCAATATGGCGATGAATGATCTGGAATATAAACGCACCCGCTTCGCTATCACGTTGAAATATCTCGATCATTGATCGCCCTCATTATTACACTTGTTGGTTGAATAACTATCATTCTTGACTCTTTCAGATTACCACTCGATTGTATCAAGTTACGAATACATTTCGCCTTTAGATGAAACTGGCGACTACACTGATAAATACTGGGCAACAAAAGATCTTTTGGAAAAATACAACCCCATCAAAACGCAACTTCCTGAGGTTCCACCATCACCTCTAAAAACTGCCTATGCAAGTGTGAAATTAGAACAAGAAATGTTCCTCTTCGATATGTTGAAGTCCATCACCCCAGTTTATTCTGCGAACGTGATACCAATGGAAAAACTGGATATCAATGATGGAAACGGCCAAAGCTTTGGATACATAGTTTACCAGAAAACTGGTCTCACTATACCAGCTAATGCAGTTCTACAAATAGAAGGAAGAGTCTGCGATAATTTCATGGTACTCGTTAATGGAATACTGGTGTCTCCTTGGCTAGAAAGATCGAAAGATTTGCACAAAGTTGGAACGTCCATGGTTAAGAACTCTGAAATAATTCTCTCTGACAAGAACCTCACCGAAGCTACTCTGGAAATCGTCGTAGAGAATTGGGGAAGAGTGAACGTTGGAGCGTACAAACAATTGAAAGGTTTATGGCAAGGGGGAGTTAAACTCGATGGGGAATATCTATACGACTGGACTATCTACCCACTTGAGTTCAAATCAGCATGGACCAATGGTTTGAGCAATTGGAAAAACGCACTGTCGGACTCCATTGGGCCGGCTCTTTATAAAGGAACTCTGACTATCAATGAAAGCCCTCAAGATACTTTTGTTTACATGAAGAACTGGACCAAAGGAATCGTGATAGTCAACGGCTTTGTTCTTGGTCGATACGCCAGAATGGGCCCCATTCAAACTTTATACCTTCCGGCACCTCTGTTGGTTGAAGGAAATAACACAATAATTGTTTTCGAACATTTTAAACCAGCTAGTACTGTTAATTTCACGAGGAATCATATTTATGAATCTTTCTAAGTATAATAAAAGTATATAAAAGTTCATGAAATACAGCTTAATGGTTGTCCTGAAACTATTTTACTCACTCATTTTATTCTATATCGATATAATATATTATATGATTATGAATATAATGAATTGATATCTTCACCCAATAATAATGAAAATAATATGGGAAAAACGGTGAACATCTTCACCTACCTCTATTCAAAGATGTTAAAACTTTTTTAAACCGTGCAATCTCATCGTTTACAAGTATATCTACTCAAAGAACGCCGATTGATGTGTGATTCAATTATCTCAAGTGTTTTTTTAATCTTATGTAGAAGTCCATAATTTTCTCTAAGTGGAGTGTAGTGATGAGAGGGTTAGAAAACACAAAATCATCTCCACAACGTTCAATAATCGGAAGATTATTTAGGGGAACATGTTTCGGACAGTCATGTGTCCATCATCAGCCATAATCCTTACATACCGAGGGTCCTATAATATGATACAAGTCAATCATGAAAAATGTATGGAATAGAGAATTTACTCACGTGGGAATGAAAAAATCACACATTATGAAAAAAACATTGAATAAAATCATTGTCCTAATAAGCACCGGTCATGATAATAATGATGATAATAATAATAAGGTGAGCGAAATCAGGAACCGCAGGAGCCTTCTCGACATCAAGACCCTGTGGACCCGAGAACTTGCAAGGATGGATGAATCGCTTTGGGAAACACTTCCGGAAGGGGCTGACATCTGGCACATCAATTGTGCCGTATATACCTATACAAACGATCTCACCAATTGAGAGGGCCGATCGGCGTGTACAAAAGATGGAAGCCAAGATCCAGTCGGCGAGACAACACACTTCCCGTATCCAGTGTGTGATGGATTATGTGAGTGCCAACAGGCCATTCACATTGAAGGTGCGACGGATGGCCAATACATTACGTCGCACCCATCACACACTAAATGAGGCAGTGCTATCCACCATCAGACAGCATTGCCTCGAAAGGATACGGATGTTAGTGGCTGCAAAACAGTCACTGAAGAGGCGAGCGAGAGGGCTGGCGGAAAATAAACAATTCCGCGAAAAGCCCTCTCGCTTATTTCAACCGCCTCCAAGTGTGGTTGACAATCCGCCGACTGCTGATCAGGTGGAAACCTTTTGGAAGAGTATTTACGAGGTGAGGCATCCATTCAACAGAGATACTACAGCCCTGGCGCAGTTCGGTACCTTTTGCGAAAGATACCAAGAGCCTGAGCCCGAATTACTACGCCAACCGCTAACCTCTGAGGAGGTTCGAGAAGCCCTCAAAGGCTCCAAGAACTCTGCTGCTCCTGGTCCCGACGGGATCAATAACTTCTGGTGAAAAGAGTTTCCCTGTACCCACCACCATTTAGCCGGGATATTCAATAGCTGGCTAAATGGGAAGCAGCAAATCCCTGAGTGGTTTATCGAGGGGCGAACAGTGCTCCTCCCCAAGACTAGAGATTCGTCCAATCCGAAGAATTACAGACCAATTACCTGCCTGAAAAGAGAGGTGTCGCTGGCTGCAAGGAGAACCTGTTGATAGATAGAACTATCACACAGGACTCTGTGCAGTACAAGCGGAATCTTTCTTTGGCCTGGATCGATTACAGAAAGGCATTTGACACAACGTCACATTAGTTACTCGTGTACTTGCTCAAATGCCTTTCGGTACCCGATTCTATAGTGAGATACATAGAACAACTGATGCTGGTCTGGAGGACCCGCTTTACAATAACATCAGGTAATGCGAGAGTCCAGACAGAGCCAGTCATCATAAGGAGAGGAGTATTTCAAGGGGACTCCCTTAGCCCTCTCCTATTTTGCATCTCACTTGTGCCACTATCCGTTGAGCTCAGGAAAACCAGAGGATACAACTGCGGCCCACCCAGTTACCGGAGGCATAAGATCACCCACTTATTCTATGTGGATGACCTCAAACTTGATGCCTCTGGTGGAAGGGATATGGACCAATCCCTCAGGGTGGTGCAGGAGTACACTCAGGCAATTGGAATGGACAAATGTGCATTGGTTCATCTCAAGAGAGTACGATGCGAGAACTACGACAAGAACGCGCAGCTCATGGACGGAAGCATCCTACACCACCTGGATGCCGGAGAGGCGTACACTTACCTGGGTGTAGAGGAAACTCATATCCAGGAGGCACAACGGGTAAAAGACGCTCTCCGCAGCAAGTATCGGCAGCGGCTCCGACAGATCTGGTCGTCAGAACTGTCGGGCAAGAACAAAGTCGCTGCTACTAATATGCTTACTGTTCCGATCCTACTTTACTCATTTGGAGTGATAAAGTGAACTCAGGTCGAGCTGCGATAACTTGACGTAAGTACTCGCAAGATGAAGAATCTCCATAGGAGTCTGCATCCGAATTCGTCCGTTCCACGGTTATACATACCTAGAGACCAGGGTGGCCGTGGACTCTTGAGCTTGGAGTATTTCCATAACAGAATGGTTCTGGATGGCGCCTGCAAAGTCATCAGGAGTTCGGATCCCCTCCTGCAAATGGTTAAAGCCCATGAAGAAGCAGGGGTAGGAGCTTTTTTTTTAGGGCAGCACGTCGAGCAGCCGATGAATTGTCTCTGATTTTCGACTCCGAGCGCGAGGCTCAGGACTCAGTTACTGAGCTAGAGCCTACTCGGAGGAAGGCCCGCATCAAAGCTGCAAAAGTGATAAAGGTCCTGCAGCTTCACACGGATAAGCCCATGCATTCGGTCTACTTCAAGACCATTGAAGACCGGGGCTCATCCAAAGAACTGACTTGCTTTTCTCAAGTCAGGCGGGCTCAAATCGGAAACAGAGGGGTTCATCATGGCATGCCAGGATGGGGTTTTAAACACTCTCGTCTACCGTAGCCGTGTCATGGGTATGGAGGTCCCTGATGCAAATTGCAGGGCCTGCCGCAGGGCGCCCGAGAGAATCATGCAACTGCTGTCTTCTTGCACGTGTATGCAGTCTCGGCCTATATCCATAGACACAATGCAGCATATTGCGAGTGCTCTACTACTATTTGAGGCACTCGTACGGAATAGACGAGACCCCAGTGCTGCCCTATGCTCCGGGGGATATTGAGTCCGTTGTGGAGAATGAGAGGTGCCGAATTTATTGGAACTTCTCATTCCCCACCCTCAGACAAATTCAAGCTAACAAGCCTGATGTAGTCCTCCTCGACCATCGCTTTTAAGGAGGAGGAAAAACGGACTAAATATCGAGATCTCCTCTTCGAACTCCGCAGGCTCTATCCAGAACATTCTGTGGAATTGGTCATCCTGATAATCGGCTCCCTAGGAGGCACACGACATACGCTGCTCTCGGAAATCCAGAAAATCCCAGCGTGCAGCGATGAGGCACACATCCTTTTTTTTTCTTTTTTTTTTCAGGAGGATAATTCTTTATGAACCCCCGGTACTGGTTCTCCCTTTCCCGGGGAGTGTGGGACTCCTGCGCAAGCGCGTATACCCACTAAAAACCATCTTTCTTCCAAAACAAAACTTGGAACATCCGTTTGGACACACGTCGAGTCCTGTCGTGTCATTCTCGTTCTCTATATCCGTCTTTGCTCTAGCTGTTCTGCTTGTGCTTGTCTCTCCTCCTGCTCTTTTGTTTTCATAATGTTCCTGAGCATTTTACATCCTATTCTCCAGGCATCCTTATCTGCAGTCATCACCGTTATCAAGTTGTTGGCAGTTGCCACGTACCCCGTGTGTAGTTCAAACGAACTCCTCTCCCGTATCCATCTGTGACAGACGAACAGGGTGTGCTCAGGGTCATCCCTCTCTCGACAATATATGCACATGTCGTCATCAGACGTTCCTATCCTAAGCGTGTAGGATCTGAAGGACCCATGTCCAGTCAGAGCCTGTGTACAGAAGTAATCCAGCGTCCTGAAGGTGCACCTGGTCCATACCTCTATATCTGGAATCAACTTTTTCGTCCATTGTGCCAAAGCAGAAGCAGTCCGTAACAGCATCTTTCTTTGCGCCGAGATCAGCATGCCACAGTATTTTTTAACCCGCACGATTCTCTTCCCCACACTGGTGCAGCGTATAACAGTACGGACTGCACCACGCCTAGGGCAGCTGTTTGTCTATCAGCCTTCTCGCAACTTTTTTTGATGTGTTCATTAGAAGATGATCTGTCATCCAGCCACACTCCGAGGTACTTCACGTGCTTCTTGGGCACAATATCTTCCCCACTCAGCGTGAATGACACATCTCCCCTATTTCTCGCACCTCTAACTATTACTGCCTCAATCTTCGCCGGGGCTATCTCCAAACCTATCTCGTCCATCCAAGTAGCAATCCGTTCCAGAGCTAAATTCGTGTTGTCGATGAGTACTTCCTTGCTCCTGGTTGCTCCTGGCAGTGGATGTTAGTGCCAGATCATCGGCGTAGGCCGTAGTGTGACATCCCCGTGGTAATTCGATCCTCAGTGCTTCGTCGTATAGCACATTCCACAGTACCGGCCCCAAAACCGAGCCCTGTTGGACCCCCTGTGTGAGGTCTAGAGAGTACCTGCCACATACAATCCTTCTCCCACACAGATATCCCACGATGGAGTTAACCAGGTACCTCCTTATATTGAGTCGTTCAAGCCTTAAGGCACACATCCTGGCTGGTGGAATGCAGAAGGCCGTCATACTTGGATCATTGCGTTTACTCAGGGCACACGGTTCTTGGTCCCAGTGATTATTCACCCCACAGGCTGTGGGGAGTAGTCACTGGATTTTATCCAGCACGACTCTGCGTGGCGTCGGAGGCCGCAGGGTCGTGACTGAAATGATATAAATTCGAATAATAATAATAATAATATTAATGTGTCTTTATTTTCCATTCATGAACAACCCATTTTTGGAAAAACCGAAAAAACGGTGGAGTCGAATAATTACTCAAGACAAACCTTCATCATCAGATGATAGAGGACAAGTGGCGTTTTTAGCAATCCACAAAACGCAAAACGTGAGTTCTGTGATAACAAGACACATATGACAGTCACAATGTCAACTGTCCGTAGATAAAGACTAGTGGACGACCAGAAGCACCACTCGACCTAAACCA